GAAAAGGGAAGAGTGGAGAAAGTAGATAAGACATAGCGCATATATATCCACCAATGGCTCATCACCACATGACTAGATCAATCCGTGGTTATTGATGAACATTGACAAAGATGGAATATTTGACTCTTAACTTTGGTTGCTTGAAGTTGGAAAATATTAGTTGTAGTAGTAGATAAAATATTCTGTATATGGATCACAAAGTAAAAGGGTATAATTAGGGTTTTATATTACCCCCTCTAAACTCACCATTGAAAAAATATATTCTTATCTCATTTTATATTTTTATACTCGTGTGGATAATAATTTAATTTCCACTTTTTTACAGAATATTTATATACTTGTATTTATACTCATTATTTGTATGCAGTCGTGACAAAAAAAACTCTTAAGTTTTAGGTGAAATTTATATTAATAATTTAATATTATTTCTCAAATCTCATTTTGTTTTTGTTATTAGTTACAAAATTGTTGATCAAAATTTTATAATTATTTTTTTATTATAAAATCTTATTATTAAATTTTTCTAAAATTTTACTATCAGTATATAAAAGACAAGTTCCTTTAACCTATTATTTAATATAATTAATATTAAATAAAATTTGAATATATATTTTTAAATTATGTTTAACAATAACAATAATTACAAATATGATCAATCATATTTTGGAAGTAATGCATATATTTAAAAAAGTATATAATCTTTTGATATAATTTATTTATTTTTAGTGAAATATATATTAATTTTAAAACTTGATTTAAATACAGTATTATTGGAAAATTTTTTATATATACATATAGTAAACATCATTCTATTCTATTCAATAATATGATATGACAATATGCAAAATTCCTATTGGATAAATATTTAAAATTATATCATATTAATGATGCATATAAATTACATTTTTTTTATCGATAAATTTTTATTCGAATGAAAATAAAATTCTTTTAAGTTCAAGTACTGTGGATGAAAATAAAATTGAAAAAGCTTTATTAAAAATAATAAGTATTTTTTTTTACAATGATTAATTATAAACAAAATCAATTGATATTATGTATCTAACAAAATTAAACTTTCTTTTTTACTTTATGTATTTTAAAAATTAAATTAAATTTTTTAATATTAATTATAATTCATTCTCATTATTAAATGTTATTGATTCAAATGATTTGACATTTATACTATTTAATCAAAAATTAAGATTAAATTCTTTGTCTTTGACATAAAGTCTTAACTAGATGTACTACTTTATTTTTCTAAAAAGTTAATTTGATAGAAAAAAAAAAGTTAGCCCTCCTTTTCAAAAAATAAAATAAAAATCATACTCATTATAATTTATTTTCAATACAAACAGTTATATATTAGATATTTTAGCATATATATTTTGGTGCGAGTACAAAGTGGAATAGGTGCTATAATAATCATACTCAAACTTACACTGATTTTCCCTAAATTTTGTGGATAAATAATGTAACATACTTGTCATATCCGTTTCAACATAGCAAACATTTACCCTACCCTTTTTGACATTTTTTTTTGAATTCCTAAAGTGTTCGAATAAAATTATTAGTATGATTGTAAGATAATCAGTAAGTGATTATTCAGACAATGAGCTAACAAATTTATTCCAACTTAGTGCATTTAAAGGGAAAAAAAACGTTCAATTACTATTCCGATAAAAATATTCATCACTTAAACTAATCAATGATCACGTACGAACCATAATTATGGCCGGAGTTGTTATCATAAAATATAATATTCAAAAAAATGTTCGTGTAGGAATTATTAATGCCATTACCTAATTATAAAACAATCTATTAATATAAAAATATAATAAACATATATTTGAAGGTAATCACAAATTACATAATTGATGTGACGAAAAATATAAAAAATATATATTTAAACTCTTCACACATTTTTTCATCAAAATTATTTGAATGCAAAAAAAATATTATATATTAACTAATGTTTCATAATATATTAAATTTAAAAGTAATTTAGTTTTAAAATATAAGTTTAATCTACATACACTGTTAGTATAATTTTTTTTTCTATATACATATCTAATAAGAATTTACTTTATTTGCGCTTCATTTAATTTACGGAATAATGGGACAAAATAATCAAATCCAATAAGATGCATACGAAATTTTTTTTGACATTAACTAAGAGACATAAATCAAAAACCCTAAAATATTTTCTTTTTGACATTTATAAAACATAATCAAGAATTTTTAGAAATGTGAGGAATAGGTTCAATCCTCATTGCAACTATCTTTGTAATATTTCCTATCTTTACAAAAAAAAAATATAAAATTGATCTTATGCATAAATATTTTAAAGAATTTTTTCAAAGAATTTTTAAAATTTTATTTTATCTAATTTGATTTTGGTTTGTCATAATTATTTATAAATTAATTCCTGTATATTAAATACGAAACTTTCTATCATGCGGGAGAGTATTTTTAGGAGATTTTTCTTCAACAATAAGATTTATAATTTTTTTTAACTTTTTTATTTAATTTAATTTGTATTTATCATAAATATTTATGAATTAAACATTAATAATTTTAAAGAAACTATATCAATAAATATTTTTTTTCCTAATACAAACTATTTACTATAAATATAAAATATAATTTATTTATTTAAAATATTTATGTATACTAATTCAAATATAATTTACATATTCATATTAATTTATATAAAAATTATTATAAATTTTAATTATATATAATAAACATACAAATATATTACGCAAATTAAAATATTAGTTATATAATAATCATTAGAGTAAAATAACCTCTTGGGTGTTATGTTGTCAATTTTTTTTGACCAAAACGAAATTCTTAATAGACTTTATGAAACAGAATATAATATATTGTACACTTACAGGCTACAATTCACATCTGTATCAATTATAAAGTTTACAGAGTTGTTGGGACGTTTTTTTTTTCTATCTATAAATAGACTAATTCAAATAAACCTAAAACTAGTAATAAGAAAAATTATCTTAGAGGAGATGTCACATGTAGAAAATTCCAATTGCAGACACTGCAGTTACTTTATTTATCAAACAGTTGGGTGTAAACTGTAAAATAAGTCCTGACGTGGTGAGAGTGTGTCAGTGTTATCCTAATATCTTGTCTCCGACCTTTTTGGTACCTAAAAATCCTATAAATTCTACTTTGCTTCTTAGAGTGCCACCAACTCCTATCTTCTTCTTAACACACTTCCATTCCCTTAACATCTCATTATTATTCTTGTAAGTTCCTCTTCTTTCTCTTTATTTTCCATTTTTTTGTTTAGTTCTCTTGTTATTCCAATTCCCGTTTTCTCTTGTTACAGATCTATCAAATTGCTATTTTGAATCTGATTTTTTAACACTCTTTTTACTTGTCACTTGTTTTATTATGGCTATATAGTATTCCTGTTTTCCTCTACCTGTTTGTTGCCAAGTTGACTCATTGTCTTAAAATTGTTTCTCTTCTATTCAGAACCGAAGGACAATGTTCAAATTCAAAACATGTGTGTGTTCCTGATTTCTGAAACCCCAGATTCGTTTGGATGCCTTTTGTTTTTTCATTTTTCATTCACGTCTTCGTTCTCAACAACTGAGGTTTATGGACCCTTGCAAATTTTATAGGATCCCTTGACAAAGTCTCATTTGCAAATCCATACAAAAACAGAAGCTTTTTTGTATATTAACAAACAAAAGTAGTCTTAAATTTGAGTCCTACATGTAAAGATGTGATAAAAGAGAGTTTTGTTATTGATAATGGTGTTAAGCGACTTATAAAGGATAGTTGTAGCCTTATACCAAAAAAATCAAAATGAATCTCTTGCGGTGAAAGGTTCTCTTCTTTTGGGTTGGTCGATTTGGATGTGTTTTTCCCTTTTAAAAAAATAATTTCTTGTTGGCTTTTCTTTATAAAGGCATCCGGTGGCTGCTTTGGATTTGGGTTTTCTTGCAAGAGAACAATTGACACCTCGCAGTCCTCAATTGAGTGGTTTTACCATGATTTATTCATCCCTGCATTTTATTCAATAGGGACAATTTTTTTTTTTTTTTTCTTGTTAAAAGTTTCTCACTTGGTTCTTCTCTGTAGTTTCTTACCTGTTTTGTCTTGAGATCACAAGCGTTTATGGCCTTTCTGGGAACATCGGAAGGTGGACTTTTGTTTGACGATAAATTGATAATTCCTTACTATAATTTTAGATCATGGTGTTTATAAACATTTAGTATGCTTTCTTGTGCGAGTGATATATGTAAAAGGGACTCTGATTTGTTTTTGTTAGTCCTGCTGATAGAACTTCTTTAAATTGAATTGTCAAAATTTTCTAAATCTTGTGCTACTTTTTCCCCCTCAGTTTGATTCATTCAGCTGATAGGACTTAAGAGAATGGAAGTTACAGGAGGCTAAGGCTTGCCAAGTTCTATGGCCCACTCTGGTATGACTTTACAGTTTTGTTGATGAACATCGGTTAATTTCTATTTTTAACTTTGAAATATAACAACTTTTTTGTCATAATTTATAGATACCTGGGCAATGTGTGAGGGAAAATACAAATCTGGAAGTTTAAGATATAACAGACAGAAAACTAGTAAGAGGGATTACTGTAGGAGCATAACTTCTGTTATGGAATTTGAATCAGACTGGATAAGGCACAGAAAGTCATCTTCTTATGCTGCTCATGTGATTCGTTCCGCGACATCTTTTATGCCTTGGTCTTGTAGAATCCCAATTGGTGAAGGGTATCATGAGCTTCTTTAATTAGTTGTACTCAGTAAGACATTTTCACATTGTTTGGTTGATTGGTCAACAACGAGATTTCTCTATATCTTCATGGTATATATGCTATGTGTGATTGCTAATTGAAAAATGCCTGGTTTTGTGGCTGAAAAGAAGAGATTTTCTGAGCCAAATATGTGTTTTCCCAATTTGGCCAACCATGATGAACGGCCTCTCACAAAAAGCAATCATTATGTGAGTGAGGCTCTGGATGATGTTGATGATGGTAGTAGCCCCATCCTACCTGGGCTGCCTGATGATGTTTCAAAGCACTGCCTTGCACTCGTGCCTCGTTCTAACTCCCCTGCAATGGGTGGTGTCTGTAAGAGATGGAGGTGCTTTATTCGAAGCAAGGAATTCATAACTGTGAGAAAATTGGCTGGGATGCATGAGGAATGGCTCTATATCTTGACAGCAGGTAGTGAAGGAAATGGGAGCCAGTGGGAGGTCATGGATTGTCTCGGTCAAAATCGCCGTTCTCTTCCGCTGATGCCTGGTCCAGCGAAGGCTGGCTTTGGGGTAGTGGTTCTTAATGGAAAGCTCCTTGTTATGGCTGGTTATTCATCGATTGATGGAACTACCTCTGTCTCAGCAGAGGTTTACCAATATGATTCTTGCCTCAACAGGTATGCTTTTCTACTGTAACTTTACTTGGATGCCTTGAGAACTTATTACACTTGATATGATAATTCCTTCTATATAATTGAGTTAATGGAGGATTATGTTGTGAACTGTATTGGGAGATATAAACCTGTAATATTGATTTTTTGAGCCTATAATTTTTTCTACAGGGATAAAATAATGGACAAAACTTAGCTGCAGTTTCTTAAGCATGGTTGAGGTTGTTCTTTAATAAAACTGAAGTTTTACCTCAGTAATATGCATTTACATTTAATGCAGACTTTATTAATATACATTCATTAAATGTAAAATGCATATTATGAAGGTAAAATTCTCATTTTGGTTGAAAAACAACACCTATCATGATTAAGGAACTGCATCTAAGTTTTGCCCTAAAATAATCCTGCTATTAGTTCTCTGGTTCATTATAGTTTATCCATTTCAGGAATGTTGGTTTCAGAAATTAGAACTGAAGTCTATGCTTAGAAGTCTTTTGCTATTAGATTTTAACTTTGGAAGAAGTGTCTTTTACTACGAGAATTGTTTCACTCAAACACTAAATAAAGTCAAAACTAGAAGAAACCTTGGAATGGTTTGATACAAATTGAGTTGTATGATTTTAGTCTCCCAGTTTTGTAAGGCCTTAAAATGATTAGTTATTTTTAACTTTTCCAGGGAAAAAACATTAGCAATGTTGTTACATGAATTCTGAAACATGAAATATGCTTTAATCATGCATCAGCCTCATTTTCATTGCGTGCTTTACATCTATATTTATTTTCTTATGTTATTGATGAAGTTGCAGGACTTAAACAATGGTCATGTCTTATGTTTAATTTAGCTAGATATTGTATGGGTTACCATGATACATGTTGCTATAGCTATTATTAAAGTATGCATTTGCAATTGCAGCTGGAGCAGATTGTCAAACATGAATGTGGCACGCTATGACTTTGCTTGTGCTGAAGTCAATGGCTTGGTTTATGCTGTTGGCGGCTACGGCACAGACGGTGACAGTCTCTCCAGTGCAGAGGTGTATGACCCTGATACCGACAAATGGACGCCGATAGAGAGCCTTCGTCGCCCGAGATGGGGTTGCTTTGCCTGTGGATTTGAGGGGAAGCTGTATGTGATGGGGGGAAGGTCAAGATTTACAATTGGAAACTCCAAGTTTGTTGATGTGTACAACCCCAAGAAGCACAACTGGTGTGAGATGAAAAACGGGTGTGTCATGGTCACTGCTCATGCAGTGCTGGAAAAGAAGCTTTTCTGTATGGAGTGGAAGAATCAGCGGAAGTTGGCAATATTCAATCCTGAGGACAATTCATGGAAAATGGTTCCGGTTCCTTTGACAGGGAGTTCAAGCATTGGTTTTCGGTTTGGGATACTGGATGGTAAGTTGTTGCTGTTCTCACTTGAGGAAGAGCCTTCATACAAGACTTTGTTGTATGATCCAAATGCAGCCCCTGGATCTGAATGGCAGACTTCTGATATAAGGCCATCTGGTTTGTGCTTATGCTGTGTAACTATCAAGGCCTGAAATGTTGTCTGCTTCTGCAATTAGAAACCTTGAGAGAGCTTTGGACCTTTGCTGCTTTACTAGGATTTTTATTTTTTATTTATGGACAAGATCCATGCAACGTTTCAAAGTTGATAATTAAGAATTATTCTGCATTTATGGACGTGATTTTTGCTAACTAAATATTATTTTACGTTGCAGTAATCGATTCTGGATGTATTAGGTCAACTCGTGTTTTAAGACAAGTTTTACAACTATTAAATCAAGAGACTTCTTATTTTACTACGATTTTGGATAGCATTAATGATGAACTTCATAATAGGATGATGTTAATTCAGTGTTTTTGTTGTTCTTGTTAGTTTTATCATGTCATCATTGTCATATCATGTCTTTGGTTTATGGTTGGATTATTTTTACAATTCTATTCATGTAATAACCATTGATTTGTGCAGCACTACAAATTTTGCTGGGCAAGCTTCATTTCCTTTTTGTTCCTTTCTTTTTTGGGTTCTCTTTTGGTGATATTAGAAATGTGAGAACTTAAGTCTTGATGCACTCGTGACTCAATCTCTCTAATTGGGTGCACGTCGTCAAATTTTATGGGGCCGGAATTTGCTCGAATAGTGATAGGTTAAATAGAACTAAATGATAAGGCACAAGCAGGAATAAAGTTCATCGAATTAGCAGACAAAAAGAAGAAATCAAACGAGTAAAGAATATTTGTAGAAAGTTATTTTCTTTCTTGAAGACATGAAGGTGGATAATTATAAAAGTTATATACAATTACACCAATAGAAAGTGGTATTTTTTTGTTGCTTCCCATTCCTAGGAAGATTCTTATTTTCTTACTTATGCTAAGTATTTAATTCCTCATCTACAATTTCTTTTTTTTAAAGATAAGAAAGATTATAAGGATGGTCGCAATGAGGATTGAATCTAAGTTCTCGTACTTCTAACTACCTTAAAATTTCTTCACTTTGAACCGAATGGAGATTCATATCCTCTTCTAGAGACGCATCGTTATTATCTAACTTGATGTAACAAAATACATCAAATTTTTTTATTTCAAAGTCATAATGTTTGTTATTAGTTAGATAAAAATATATTGAAAAACATTAATCAACTTCCTTTCAATTTAATATCATGTGCATTTTATTTTTGAAACTCAAAAGAGTATATATTTCGTTATAAATTTTTAAGAGAGTACATTTTAGTTGAGTTTAAATTTTATACACAATCTTATAATATTTTTTATGTTATCATTTAATAAAGAATATAACATCCGGATAGATATATCATTCACGATAATTATTATAAAAATTAACGACAATTTATATTTGTAATGAGATGATAAATATTGTTAGTGTATACATTTCATGCTTTAAATAATTATTATTTTTTTAAATAAATAAATTTAAGTAGGTATTAAATAAGTTAAAAAAGTAAATTATTATTTTTTTAATATGTATGCCATATACTAGCCACAATTATATTATTAACAAGTTAAGATAAATCTTCTCTAAGGAAAAAGATAAATTTATTGGTCATATTGAGAGGTATAAATGAAATAACTATTTACATTAAAAGTTTGACACCATTAACTCAGTTCATTCGATTTGATACATACTTGATTTTTTGTTATACCATTGTAAATGTCAGTTCATTTCAATCCATCCAGAGACATGTTTTTTCTTTTGAGTGCATTAGAATGTGTATTGATAGATATTCAAACACATTATTAGATTGCAAGCATAGATGAGGTGTAGATATAAAAGAAGTGTTTCGTTTAGTTTTTCTTAGACTATAATTCATATTTCCCAGATCTTTGTTTAACACACAAGGCAAGTATAGTATTTCTACTATTGCTTTCGAATTTCTCACCATAAATTCATCACAAATGGTGGCAGAGTTTGACCAATTATTTTGGGGGATAGTAAATTATATTAATGTACTCAAACTTCAAAACATATAATTGGATTGATTTTTTACTCACATATACTATCATTATCTTTCATACAAAAGTGAGTACATGATGCAATAAAATTATAAATATAAAAAAAATCTACTTAAAGTATTACCCTTCATTCCTTCATATGTTTGTACTCATCGATATTGAATCAAAACTAAAGTTTTCGGTTATTTCCTTCTCAATGTAAATGACCATATCTTCCATCCTATTACAGAATCTTTTTTCAATGATCTTCATTGCTAAGAATGTTTTTTCTTATTGTAGTCGTATAGAAGAATTAAAATAAGATGAAATAATGATCCACCACTTTTAGTAAATAAGTAAGTTTAAAAAATGGATCCTTCACTAATTCCAACCGAACCTTCATTTCATTTGACTCCTCTCAGATTTGGGCATGGGCTTACTCTACAAGTGTAGTGATTTAGGGCTAAGAGGAGCCCAATTTTTTTTAAAATAATTTAAAATCATTATCACTTTTTTTATATTATTATATGTAGGTTTAATTCCCATTACAATTATTTTTGTAATCTTTCATATCTTTACACACAAAAAAAACATAGTGAAAGTTGGGAGAATATGCACAATGTCCTATTTTTTTTTTTTAACTTTATTGCTATCATTTATGCACCCAAAAAAAAATATAAGGGTCCTTATTTATTGTTTCTCTTAGACTCCATAAAATTTTAGGATTGGCACTGACTCCTCTGATGGATTACCATATTCTTGTAACTTAACCTTGTGACATAATTCTACCTTTTTTCAAAATTATTTATTGTGTCTTTCCTTTCTTAGTTTTATGTGTGTTAACTCTAAACCATAAACTCTAAATCCTATATTGTTTAGATGCAAAAAAAAAAACTTTTATTAGAATGTTATATTTAGAATTAAAAATATTATATTTATTTTAGAGATTTGTTTCATGTTGCAAAATAAGAGGGATCTAGAGGTTGTATAGGTATGAAACAATACAATTGATAATGACTTAAAAAGAATTTATTAATATTTATACTAAAAATTGCATCTACTTTTTGGTAGTGTCGATTAAAAACTTGATTGTTAAGCATTCTTGACTTAGAGCATTTTAGGGATGAATGATCTTTTGAAATTTTTTTGAAAGTGTGAGTAAGAAAAAAAGTACACCAAAAAAGTCTTGTATTAGTTTTTAGGGACAAATATTGATCCTATTAGCATTAAACACTTTGAAAAGGGCTACATACAAAAGGTTTTGACTAACGAGGAGTTTAGTGATATTTCATCGAGTCGTAAAACGAAGTCATTGAGACATCAAATTTGTAGGGTGTTGTAAATGATAGCAGATTAGATCCTTTCTCCTAGTAAGTTGTGGTTGAGGATAAACTAAGTGGAAAGTTGTAGGCTTGTAATGTCTCGAGCACATCGAAATGAGAAGAATCTAGAGGTTGTATAAGTGTGAGACTATATAATTTAGGATGAATTAAAATGAATTAATTAATATTTTCAATACCAATAAGATGCTTCTAATTTTCGGTAGTTCATCATGCAAGAACTCCATAGTTAAACATGTTTAACTTGGATAAATGACTTTTTGGGAAGTTTATCAAAAAGTGCATGAGTATGGACAGAGTAGGATACAAATTATGCCTAAAAAACTTGTGTTGGTTTGTTATGACACTTATTGATCCTCAAAGTAGTTGAACATCACAAAAAGCATTACTCATGGAGGTTTTGACCAATGAGAGGATTTTTACTAATAGGGAGTCGAGTAAAGTGTCGCTGGGTGAACAATCATGGAGTTTAGTCATTGAGACATTGGATTTGAGGGGTGTCATTGCCCTTCTTTCTAGCATTATTGTTTCAACATCAAGCTTGCAAGGATCATTAAGGTCATTGCATTTAAGATATTGTTCGTTTTAACTCTTGTTGGGCTGTCATTGTCTTACCTTTAAAAAGACACTTCGATGGGTAAAGGGAGGACAACACCAAGGGGTTTATCTAGATAGAGTTTTGAAGCTATTCAAGGTAGAGAATCATAGATATAATGATGCCTCTATTGTTAAAAGGGATAAGACATCTAATGATCATTGTCCTAAAAATTACATTGAAAAATTTGTGGAAAATGTAAACTCAAATTTGTATTATACCTAATTTGTGGACAAGGTCAACCTTGAAAACGTTTTATGTTCCAATTGAGACTAAGTCAAAAATTTTCGATCAAGAGTAAGCTAAAAATGCTATGAGTTTAAATTACTAGAATGAGGTCAAACTCAAGATTCTTTTGATAACAACAACCTAAAAAGACTTTAGCCAACAAATTCATTTAAAATTGGACGTTTATTTCAACGTATCATTATGCATTTCTAGAAATATTACAAGTATGAATGTTATTCATATAAATATTTTAAAAGATGTTTAGTTTCATCTTAATATTTCAAAGATCAATATTCTCAAAAAAATAAGAAAATTACATAAAATAAACTTCCATTGGAAATAAATTAAGGGGGTGTATTGGATTGAGATTTCAAATGATTTCAAAAGTCTTGTGTATTCAATCAAAACTTTTGAGTAACATAAAAAATTCCAACATAAAAAATTTCAGTGATATTCAATCAAAACTTTTAAGATTTTTTAAAGAGTGTATTGAAATTTGACGGTATTCAATCAATACTTTTAAAACTTTTTAAAGAGTGCAATGAAACCCAATGGTACTTTTAAGATTTTTTAAAGAGGGTATTGAAATTTGAAGGTATTCAATCAATACTTTTAAAACTTTTTTAAGAGTGCAATGAAACCCAATTGTATTCAATTGAGATTTTTTCAAACTTATAAAAAAATTTATGGTATTCAAAAGTCTATAGGTTTTGATAGATTCTTTTATAGAATGAATTTTGTTAGATTTTTTTAGTGAAAAATGTAAATACCAAACTCCTCCAACAATCTCACTCAAACTCATGAGACTTTTCTTTCTGTATTTCATTCTTTTTCTTCATTTTTCTTAGACTTTTCTTTCTCGTCATATTTCCATCTCCCTCTATCTAAAAAATATACAAGCAGTCATACAATATTTTAATCATTTTTTTATGCAATTCATTACTTTCTTTTTTTACTTTTTATTTGTAATAATAATTTTTTTTATCCACAATAATATTTTCTATAATTTATTCAGTTAGATTAAAAGTGTTCCATTAAGAATAAAATATCCATAAAAATAGTTATAATTTAACTATTTTATTATTCATGTCGATTCCATACTATGGAAGGTGATTTTTTTTGTGTACTTTTTTATTTATATAATTTTTATATTATATGTTTGTATAATATATGATGAGACTCCTGCATGTTGTATGACTTTTATAATATTCACATCAATTCTATATTGTTGAAGGTAATTTTTTTATGATTTTTTTTCTCTATGTGATTTTTTCTTTGAATGATTTTTTATAATCGTTACAGAAAGATATTACAAAATGTATTAGTAACTTGTAACTTTGATTTGAAATTCATGTGTGTTCTTAGTGAGTGATGCTTTATCAAGGAAAAATAAACTTAAAGTACTCCAAGATAATTTTTTTTAATAATACACACACATATATATATACACACACATACACATTTTTTTTTAACTTTTCATACTAATCTTATATGTTGTAAATGTAATTAGGTAAGTATTTTCTAACATATTGTAAATTTTCAAATAGATATCAATTTTTCGTTTCATTTCTATGTGTGTTATATCATCTCCAAAATTTTGCAAGTTATGATTATAACCTTTAAAATAAAAATGAAGTGTTTAATTTACGTTATGCATTATTAAAAAATATAATCGAGTCAATACTTTTAAAATTACACTTCACAATTTTTAAGTTAAATTCTTTGTTTCTTTTTAAGATACGAATTGAACTTATATTAGCATGTATAACACTACATAACCTTTTTTCGTAAAAAATGTCGTTCTTATAAATTTTTAATTGAATTAGTGAATAAATTTTCTTCTTCCATGTTATCGGTTAATGAAGACCATGATTTTGAACATATTATTTATATTCAAGAGAATGAAAGAGAATATATCAATGTATGGAAAATTATAATAGTTTTAGATATAGAGAAATGTTAATTAAGATGATATTATAGTCAATTATTTGTCAAAAAATAAAAAAAAGTTATGTTTATTATTTTTTATATATTATTTATGTAATACTTTAATTAATGCTTTAAAATTCATATTTTTAATGTGAAATTTATAAAACTTTTTAAAATATTATAATATAAATGATCAAAATCTGTTAAAATTTATTAAAATTCTAATTATAAAATCTTGATTAAAATTTATTAAAATTTTAAAAGTCATTCTATTCCTTCAAAATCTTTTAAAATTCATTAAAATTTATGAGATTTTTTTTTATAAAAAGAATACTCCCTAAATGATTTAGCCGACCTATAAATTTAGAATTCAATCAGTTTAATGAATAATAAATTAAATTGAGCCGTACGTAAAATGAATTAAGTTACGTAATTCCCCCCAAAGGTGACGTAACATTCTCGGTAGGCCCAAAAAAACCCATTAATGCAATCACTTTCAAGCCCAAAGATCGAAAACAAAGGTGAAAAAGCAAAAAGGACGCACCTCGCACGAACTTGGGTGCGTCAAGTTTTTCACTCACGGAACCAAAAGGCAAACAGCAACGAGCAGGAACCATCCTATTCGTATGCGTAGACTCAGTGTGTTAAAAACAAAACAAAACAAAACAAAATTGTAATCCATGTTTGTTCCCTCTTAGCCGCTCTTGCCGCTTTCACGTTACGGCACAACACAGAGTAACCAACAAAAACCATTTCATTAAATTCTAAATACTTAAATACTCAGCGCTTACGAACACAATCACAAACATAAACACAAACACACACACGACACAATCACAAACATAAACACAAACACACACACGACACAATCACAAACATAAACACAAACACCCACACGACACAACACACAATCCACCTTCTCCTTTTCACTCTTCCACATGCCGTTCGGCTCTTCCGCGGATGTCTCCGCCTTCAAATTCCTCTTCCTTCTGGCGGTGGCGTACGGCCTCATGTCGGCGCTCGCTTACTCCGTCATCCACATGGCCTTCGTCCACCCTCTCGGCAACGACGCGCCGCTCGATCGCTTCTCCGAAGCCAGAACCGTCGAACACGTTCGTATGTTGTCGCAGGAGATCGACGGTCGCCAAGTGAGCCAAATAAATTGCAAATGTGAAACTTGATCATTATTATGTTGTTTGCGAATAGGGGTTTTTGTTGTGCGACATGATGTGAATCGTTATCGAAGTGTGTTTGTGATATGAATTTGAGAATGTTGACTTTTGGTGCATTTAATAATAGGAAGGGCGTCCTGGATTGAAAAAGGCTGCACAGTATATTAAGGGTCAGTTGGATGCAATAAAGGACCGAGCTAGCTCCAATGTCAGGTTGCTGCACTTCATTATTATTATTTTTAATATTATTTCTCACACTTCTTTTTCTCTTTGCCTTTTTGGCCCACTTAATTATATTTAGTACTGCACATGCACTTTGTAGTTTTAGGATGTATTTTTTATTTTTATTTTTTGTTAGAGTTTGATTTTATTTCCAACATTTTACTCGCAGAATTGACGTCGAGGAGACAACCGTAAGTGGCTCCTTCAATATGTTGTTTTTGGGCTTCAACATAGGTCTCGGATACAGAAATCATACTAATATTCTTATGAGGTAACATTAGAATTGGATTCAGTCATGTGTACTGGGATTTGTAGATAGATAGCCCCCTAAACTTCAAGCAATTTTCACATTTCATACTCGAATTTCCTTGTTTAAACTTTAAAGGGTACATTTGACTTTACAAGCGCGTAGATGAACCAGTGATTACTTTTAAAAAAAAATGTCAGTATCAACACCAAAGATGAAAACTTAGTATATGTTACGGCAATGTATTCTGTAATTCAAGAATTGCAGCACAATTTCATTGGAAACGGATAGAGAGAGATTTTCAGTAATTTGTAAGCAAATGGTTCACGTGAAAGCAAGCTAAATTTAGTAACATATGACAGCAATAATGTTTAGTAAAATGTCCTAAATTAGCTAGGAATATGGGCAGAATACTCCTTATATTGAGCAATCTTCTCCCTTTGACTTAGCTTTTGGGTTTGAGTTAGGCCTAGTTCATTTCTAATAGAAATAATAGGATCCAATAAGGGGAAAAAGGATGAGAAAAAAGCTATTAGATAAGCTTGGTTCTATAATGTGATCCCGTTCTATCAATAGGGTCACGTGCTAATAACTTTACAACAACACTGTTAGAATCATACATCTGTCTGTTAGTTTCAATGATAAAAGAATGTTCAGGGGGCAAAATGAAAAGAAAATAGAACTTCATGTATGTAATGTGAAACTCAATGAAGTACATCTGTACATGGGGTGGTGGTAACCTGAAGTTACCCTTGCAATAAACAGTGCTGTTTTGATGCAATCTCATACTGTCTGGTTACTTTGTTTACTTTTATTTTTTTAAATGATATTATTCCTGAATCCTGATACACACATGTGGCCTGGAAACTGATACCTTTATTAACTTCAGAGTGGGGAGTGAACATAATAAGGTAACATAACATTCTTGGGACCTCTTTCGATAAATTTCTCTTAAAGCATTTATAGTAGAAAGAAATAGAAAAGAAAAATAAAATAAGCTTCTCCATAAATTAAAAAAATAAGTTTTTGAAGAAATTAATTTGAGTCCTACGAAGCACCGACACATTTATAGAATGTTGTGTTAGTGTGTTTAACATGTTTTTGACACAACACTTGTCAGACACGTCTTGATATGCACCGGACACAATTATATCGTGTCACAATTAAAAATTATTTTTTTTTTTGGTTCAAACACCTCTTCGATTCAACTTACACCTTTTTGACACCACTTGAATGAGTTAAGAGAGTGAGTTGACTTTTGCTCTTAGTTAAACATTAATCTAACACTCCTTTTATAAAAAAATTTTAAAAACCAACTTATTTATAAATATTTCAATGCTCAAACATTTTTTTATATATCTATTTTGAGACTTATTTTCATAAGAATTGCTCGATGTTCCTACTTTTAAGAGATATGGTTCATTTTTTTATGGTCATTATCATATAAAAATTGTAAAGCTTATATATATGTGTGTTGTGTCCCCATGTCCTACTTTTTGGACATTAACCGTGTCTTGGCATCCATGTCCGTGTCCTGTCAAGTGTCCGTGTTGGAGTTCATGCTTCATATCTATAAATTACATAATGCATAAGCTATTTTTAATTTATGGAGAAACTTGTGTTATTTTTTTTTTCTTATTTCATTATTGTACCTTGAGTGACCACATATTTTCTGTGCATCATATAAACAAAACAAAGTTCAACATGGATTTCATTTTTATTTTATTATTACAGGATATCATCTGTGGATTCCAAAGATACTGATCCATCAGTTTTAGTGAATGGGCATTTTGATAGTCCACTTGGTTCCCCTGGGGCCGGTGACTGTGGTTCATGCGTTGGTGAGTAATGGTTACATTTGAAGTTTTCATTGAATTTGAGAGATTATATTGGCAAATCTATACCTTGTCACCTTGAGCATTCTAAATCTTATTGTTCATCTAATCCCCCCTTTCAGCATCTATGCTAGAAATTGCAAGATTAATTGTGGACTCTGGTTGGGCTCCCTACCGCCCAATTATTTTCCTTTTTAATGGTGCTGAGGAACTTTTCATGTTGGTAGGATGTTGTCTATAGAAGATGAATGTTTTTCATGAGTGGAGTTTAGCATGATGAAACTGATGAGTTGTTTTACTTTTGGTGCATAAGGGTTCACATGGGTTCATGAAGACACATAAATGGCGTGACACAATTGGAGCTTTTATAAATGTGGAGGCATCCGGGACTGGAGGGCCAGGTAAATGTGATGTAAAATTTCTATTATGATTAGTAGGATAATAAGCTACATCTTCAAGGTCTCTGTGCACCATAAATTTATGATGTGTTCCATGTAGGACATTTTCACTGAATAATGTTGCTAAAATTAACAGATTTAGTTTGCCAATCTGGACCCAGTTCCTGGCCTTCTAATGTCTATGCAGAAGCAGCAATATATCCTATGGCTAATAGTGCAGCACAGGTTTTGCCTTTAACCTCCCTATATCTTAATACTCTATCATGCTGCTTAGCAATTGTTTTCCCCTTTTGTATTTACTAATTCAAATTTTTTATTTTAACATGCAGGATGTTTTTCCTATTATTCCTGGTGATACAGATTTTCGAATATTTTCCCAAGACTATGGAAATATTCCTGGACTTGACATTATCTTTCTCCTTGGTGGTTATTTTTACCATACCTCTTATGATACAGTAGAGAGACTAATGTATGTATCTTGCGAGCTTGGTTTGGTACAAGATATTTGATTGAATTTTTTTATCCTCACAAAAACATGTTTGATGTATTACTGTCTCAGACCCGGAAGCATCCAAGCACGCGGAGAGAATTTGTTCAGCATAATCAAGACTTTTACTAATTCTTCTAAGCTACAAAACTCCTATCAAACAAATTCTAGTGAAGTTATTAATAGCACGTTCAATGATGAGCGGGCTGTATTCTTTGATTATTTCTCATGGTTTATGGTATGCACTGAAGTTTGTAGATTCCTTCTTTTGCTTATGATGTTCTGATACTCCTAGCAATACGATATTCAGAAATTGGCCACCTTGCACTTTTGTTTTCTTATATTTAAGATATTGATTTTCAGATATTTTATTCCAAAAGGGTAGCTAAAATTCTTCACAGTATTCCTATCTTCTTCTTTCTTGTCATTTCCTTCACACATGGTGGATCACATTCTTGGTCAGCAGCTTTATGTGATTTTATAAAAGGTAAATTTCTACATGATTACTGCTGCTTAATTCTTTATAAGATGTTTCTTACAGATCTTCTTGTTAATCACTTAAATTTTTGCCTTGAACCTATTTTCTAGGAGATTTTTTTTTTGGTGAGTTATTGTAGAAGAATTTAAATATTATTTGTTGACACTTTGAATAACATTTTATAATTTGTTGGATTTGCAGGGCTTTTGTTCCATGCAATTGGGATTATATTGGCAATTATTGTTCCTGTTGTGTTTTCTATTTTTAGATTACTATTCTCTTCTCAGACAATGAATTGGTATGTTCATTTAAAGTTAACTTTTGGCTTCTAGTTAGCGACAGATTTTTTTCTTGAGCAATTTTTGGTTTCTTGTAGCTAGTGCCGAAAAATTTCGCTATTAATCAAATTATTCAGTGGAAGAACAAAGCACCCAAGTATTTGATAACTGCGTAGTTAAATCTAAAGATTTAGCAGTGCTGTTTTTATTTTGTGGCCATTAAATTATCTGAGGTGTAATAATTTCTGTGATCATGTGTTAACATAATTGATGAAAACCAGGTTCGCTCATCCATACTTGGCTTTCTTGATGTTTATACCCTGTGCACTTATTGGACTTTTAATTCCAAGAATTATCTGGAGATGCTTTCCTCTTTCTCAAGACGTTTCAATTGTCAAGTCATCGAAAGAGGTATTGCAGCATATTGAAATTGGTTTAACAAGTTTACTGTGACCCATGTTTGATAGTTTATTTTATTTTTTTGTCAAAATGATTCATTAATAAAACTGTACACTATCTTGGTTCTGCTGGTTATCAAATGAAATATATTGTCCGATAGAAAGGCTTCCAACAAATAGTGTCTATAGAATTGGCATATCTACTTTGGCCTCTGCTGCCTTCATGTGTGATCTTTATAAATGATTTTGCATGGTCTTCTGAATTTGGGCATATTCATTGTGAGTGATTTCAATTTGTATTGTTGGTAGTCCGAATTGCCTAAGCCTAACTTTTTGATTTGACACATAAATTGCAGGCACTATCTGATGAAGCAAGGTTCTGGGGAGCATTTGGGTTCTATGCTGTATTAACTTTGGTGGGCAGATTTAATATTTAGTCAGAATATGATTTTTTTGCAGCATGATTTAATGTATTCTCTTGAATATCTTTCTGTGGCTAAACAAGTTTTGTAAAAGCAGGCTTATCTTGTAGCTGGTTTGAGTGGAGGTTTTGTGACTTTTTTTGTGTGTGCTTCCATGCTTCCTGCATGGATATCCTTCTGCTTGTCAGTCAAATCTTTTGGACAGCGGTCGCTCAGGTTGGTTGTGAATGCTTATGTAATTGTAACTACTGAGTGTACTATTTTTGTGCAAATAAATGTTTCTTGCTTCGTTTGGTCATACAACCACTAATGTCATTTGACTCCCTTTACATTACAATAGATTTGTCTAGCATCTTCACTGTTTTTATATGCATGCTATTATCTAATCTTATTTCTTTTGGCATCTGTTATTCATCTTAGTAAAATATTTTTCATTTCATTTTTTTACTCTCCAGGTCAACAATGTTCTACATATTACCTCTAGTTCCATGCCTTGCATATTCTGTTTATTTTGGTGGCATTCTTGCCCAGTTTCTGATAGAGAAGATGGGAATGATGGGTTCTCTTCCTCCACCATATGGTTAGTATATATATACACACCCCAGTAATTAAATTAATGCATAATGAATTGCCTTTTTAAGGCCTGGGATGATAATTAGACCATCATGATGGAATCACTAAGCTTCATGCTACTGCATTTGAATAAATACATTTATCAGTATATTTTTTTAAAATCAAATGTGTATATATGGTATTATCTCACTTGAGGTTTCCTATATTGTATCTCATCACTTGGTAACTATTTAGATAAACCTGTTTCATAAAACAATATAATGCTAACAATTTAACAATGCTCAAAATACTTGCTGCCTATGATGCACCCATACGATACGCGTATCGGATACGACACGTATCCGATACGGCGATACGATTATTTAAAAATATATAAGATACGATACTTGTAAGATACGTGTCATTATATGCATTAATGTTCATACAATATAATAAATATGTACTTGATCAAAATTCGTAAATATTAAATATATAATTGCTATTTTGCAAATCCAAATTAAAAACATACTTATTGTACACTACTAGAAGTAAATAAATTATAAATCATTTCATCATAAATTACTTTTTATTATTTACAAATAGAAATAATATTACCAATATCATTCCTTTCTTGAAATTATCTATATAGAAGACAATTTTCATTTACAGTTCATCAAGGACCAATAGTTCTATGTTTCTATATTAAACATGCTTATATATCTTATTTAGCTGTAATGGATATTTCATAATTTTTTAAAAATTTGAACACTTTATTGATATGTATCACTAATAAGTATCAGTGAAGTATCTGAAAGTATCAAAATTGAATAAAACTTTTATAATATTTTTAAAAGCTAGGATACTTCATTGACACGTATCGGTTAAGTATCTAAGAGTATCGTATCGGATACGTATCAGATACGGATACGTGAAGCAAATTGAAGTATCCGTGCTTCATAGCTTGCTGCTGATCATAACTTCTTATTGCAGGGCACTATGTTCCTGATGTTATTGTGGCTGCATTAATTGGAATTGTAACTGGTTGGTGCACGGGCCCTCTAATGCCCATATGTGGGCATTGGTTAGCCAGATCATCCATCGTGCAATTTCTGCTGCATCTTAGTGTGTTTGCTTTGGCGTTATCATCTCAGTTTTTTCCTTACACCATGTCTGCACCTAAGAGGATTGTTTTTCAGCATACTTTCCATACTGAAGGTATTGATTATCAGAAATGACAGTAGGGTGGGAAATTATAATTTTCTTGATACCCTCTTAAGTGATGAACTTATCTAGTTTCTGTAATGTGCCTATAGAAGTTTCTCTAATTTTTTCTTTTCCATTATCATTGTAGTACCCCATATATCCTTTTGTTTTCCCTCTCGTTTTGATCTAATTTCTGACATTTTTCCTGTGGTTTGACAGGCTCAAGTCAGATTAGGGAATCTACTTATGATTTTTCTGTGACTGATTCCAATTCTTTACTTTTCCTTTTCAAATACTCACCTGAAGTGGCAAAGGAATTGAATATTACTTCTGAGTTTTCATTTGAATCTGCATCATTGTTTAAACGCAATGATTGGATGGTAAGTTGCATGCCAATATTATGTTGATCTCACTCAATTAAAATGGGAAAGAG